CTGTAAAAAAAAAAAAGACAACCTATTGCATTGAAAACGTAAGCTGAATTGCTGAAGTGATAAATTCATTGCACTTTTTGGACTGTGCACTTGTGAATTCCAATTTCTGGTGACTCGTAAGAAATTTAGTAGAAATGAAATGAATGCAAACAATAATAATCAAGACTTGTTTTACAGTGCTTCCTAATCTGGTTGTCTAAAAAACCTGCCTGCTTTGTTCCTCTTTTGTAATAAAAGCATGCGCTAGATGCATAAATGTAAATGGAGATGAATGATAATGACACTGTTTGTGTTTTGGATTTTCGAGACTTTCCAAAAGTTGCAAGCAGGCACATATTTCTACAAGTCTGGCAAATAATAATATGCATGAGCAGTTATGAGATGAAGCCAGAGGTCTCGGTGTCTTCATGTTGACGGAGGGGGCCGGCGGCTGGGGGTTGAGTGTGTTTAAACGTGCCTCTGTTGTTATGTCTGCGTCTCCTTTGAAGTTCCTCAAACCTCCAACTAAGTGGCACTCATTTTCCATCTCACAGACCTAGAAGAATTATTTCCAGATTGCGGCGCGGTGCCACAGGGAGACGTGGTGTCAGGCGTAACGTAGCTCCAGCAGCATCACAATAAGGTCTTGTCTGATTTTAGTCTCTTCACGGATGCTTTAAGAGGCATCGAAATGAAATTGACCTCGATTCTAATAAACCCACACACATTTACCCTCAAGACAACAGGAATAGATACACAGCCTTTAAAGACCACTGTGGAAATTTTGCTTATCTCACTTTCACTCAGTCAGGAAATGGAGGTTTTTCTCAGTTACAGTAATCTGAAGCTCGCTGTTTCTCCACAGTTTGGGGATCAAAAAAAAACAAAACATTTTTGAAGTGCTTATCCTTCATTCATGTGTCCAGTGTCTGAAAGAATGACTAAAAAAGATCTGATGCTTGTGGAAACTCGTGCATCTCGCCGTCATGATGTCTTCATGCAGATGGTGCGTAGAATCAATGGCATCCTCTAATGTGGTGATGCAACCCAAAATTTTGGAGGGCCAAAATCATTGACAGAAACTGAGATGTTTAATTAGTGTTTCTCTGATGTCGTGTTTTGACCATGTTTCGTGACACATCATGGATAAACTACAGCGGGTAAACATGCCAGCTGTGAATCATATTGATTTCTGGGTCTTAAAGGCATATTTCAGCCAAAAATGAAAATTGTCATCACTTACTCGCCCTCACATTGTTCCAAACCTGTACGAGTTTCTTTCTTCTTTTGAACACAAAAGAAGATATTTTGAACAATGTTGATAACCAAACAGCTGACGGTAGCCATTGACTTTCATAGTATTTTTTTCCATACTATGGAAGTCAGTGGGGACCAGCTGAACAACTTGTGTTCGACAGAAGAAAGAGACTCATACAGGTTTAAAACAACTTGAGGGTGAGTAAATGATGACAAGTTTCATTTTTGGATGAACTGTCTCTTTAATTGATCTTCATTTTGATGAAGCTATATAGATTCTTAAATCTCAAGCATTAGGATTTTAGTCTTTTGTGTTTTCTGTTGGTGTGTGAACAAAACATCACAAAATATTATTGTAGTCCGCCTGCCATCCAGTTATCGCAGTGAGATTTGTGCTTATGTTGAAATAAACTGTAGAGCTTAGTATCACGTCTCATGGTTTCAACCACAGAAAGGCATCAGTTAAACAGCTTATAAACAATGTCATGCAACACCACCTTTATCTCAAAAAAGCCATTTAATAAGCTTGTTAACCAATTAGAAATTAATACTTCCAGCGAGGAGCATTTTGCAATATGCACTATATTACATATTCATTATATTTTTATTTAACCTGTTAGCAATATCTGTGTTTTTTACAGCCACAGTTTATGTGTTTATATTACAACAATGAGTCCGAGTAGAAACAATTAGCCTATATCATTAGAAAGTTGTCTAATGTGCAATTTTAATGTTTGTGCAAGTCAGTTTTTTATTAAATAACATTTTGAAATAAACTTTATATTCACTTTTTATCTAAATGAAAATTTTTGGTAAAAAATTTATTTTGTTGCATCACTGTTTGAATGGCATCAGTTTACTTGCTGTGTACTGTGTGGTCCAAAATATCATGATGAGATGGTTTTTCATTTAAACCTGGAAATAAACAGTTTTAGGATGCATAAGCGTTCTGGTGTCTCTAGGTTCTCTCTAGGTTTGTCGGATGCATTATCGAATGCAAGTAAATCGAGTGCTCTTTGGAGAACATGGGCGTCATGTTTAATTCCTGGAGCTGAGGAAATACTGACAAAATATGAAATGAATGCTCATTTTTCAATTCAGAACATAATTTGGACCCTAGCACAGTAAAGCTATTAGAACATTCTTTTGTTTAGGGATGTTCACGGGTCAAAGTCGAAAAAAGGTTTAAGCATAAAAACAATAAGTGTAATACTGCTTTTGTTTTTTCCAAATTTTTTTAAAAAGTTTTCTGTTTAATTTAATTGCAATTTTGTTTTTGTTTTTCTGAGCAAAAAATAAATATCATACATTTCCCCCTGATTTACAGAAGAGAGCCACTAAAATAACAATCTTGTTACAATCTTGTCAGGCATATTTACAACAAAAATCAATTTATGACATATTAAAAGGTGCCACTACCCTAGGTTTCACCCGTTTGTCAGTAAGAATTTTTTAATAATTTAAAACACAATAAAATGTAATATGCTCCCTTATTCTTTTATGCATTTTAACATGTACAGGTCAGAATAAGCATGTTTGAATTTTTACATAACTATAAGTGGTACACTGAATGACAATGTAACATTATTTCAACCAAATTTTGACATTTTATTCTCCAAAAACTAATTTGAATCCTTAAAAGTAGACACTTACATTTAATGTGCTTTCTATGGACATAAAATTACTTTTGTAAATTTCTTTTGATGCGGACATCTTAACGTCTTTGACCCTCATGCATATGGTATGTTGGGTATTATGGTTTTTCTATTGGGTTGTTCTGAGTAGATGCCAGCTCACAACTACTACTAAATATACTTCCTCCAGGCATTATCATAGAGACCAAAGGTTCATCTGATTCAGCGTTCTTGACCACATCAATGGCAACATAAAGCGTGTAAAATGATCGCACCCCATTCAGACGCGTCAAACACATCGGTACTCAAACAGGAGATTAAAGACGTAACACTCAAAGCACTCGCTTCCAAAAGGTCCTCTAATTTCCACTTCAAAAGAGCACTTAGATATTTAAAGCAAAGAATACATTAGACAGGACAGCGTTTGAGACCCGAGGAGCCCACGGGTCGTCGTGTCCATCAGTGGTCAATATTAACGGACCGAACCCTCAGAACAAGTCATGCCTGCGTTGTCATTCAAAGAAACGCCGGATAAAAGGAAAGAACCACATGCAAATAGATTTTGTGCTCTGATATATAATAGCCATGTTCGTTTGATGCGATATGAACACTGGACTCATGCTGCACTGTCATTGCAGTGAATTAATTTGCATTTGTGCGGGGAAAATATTGTGTTGTTCATCAGGAACTAAACACTGGAATCCCCTCAGCAAGATTTCTTTTGGTCTTTTCAAGATGCAAGAGCTTGCAAGATAAGTATGTTGGGTGAAATATAAGACAAGCTTTTCTTCTAGTGTTTTATCTCAGTGTAAGTGTGCGTTCATGAAATCAATTCTTTAGTGGATCGAGATCTCCAGTGTTAAAGTTCTCAGTCGCTATGGTCATGTATGAGAAATGAACAGATGCTTGGGGCAAAAATGGCACCTAAATTGTTCCAACATGCCCCCCAAATTCAAGATACAGGACAAAAAAATGCCCCTTCTACATAAACTAAATAGATTACAACTGAGAAATGTGAAAAAAATGAATAAAAGTGTTGATTGCAGCATTAAATTTTGATCTGCTTGCTTATGTTGCATACATTTTTATGCATTGTTTTTGTGTAGCGTCGAGCATTGTAACCAATCACACACATTTGTGTTGAGCCAATCAGAGGGGTTTAGAATTTTGTCTGGTGGGCTGATTTGTTTTGTTTTTATAATACATAAAAATGCTTTAAACTCAGTTTTTGTCTGTGAAGCCTACAAGATTGTGACGTGCCTTTTCCCCAAACATTTTAAATGCATTCTATTAATAAACATTAATGATCATTATTACAATATCAAGAGCATTAATGACTGAATCAGGTGTAGCGAAGCCTCAGGAGGTTCACTTAAAACTAAACATGGTTGCTGTTATTTAAAAAATGCACTAAACAGTAGATGTTTTTTTTTTTTTTGTATGACTACAAATTTTTCAAGCATTGCAAAAAGTATTAGTTTATTTCACAGATTGAAAACATATCGAACATTATGCAAGCTGACCATAGCAAATACTGTTAGTCTTGAGTAATTAAATGAAGTAGTATATGGCATAGTCTGAAAAAAAAAAAAGTTATCAGCCAGATGATTTATTTTTTGTGGCTTTAATCCCTGGGTTTGATTACAGGTGTTTAATGCGGAGCACCCATTATAAAGAAAGGAGAAAATTGACTTTGCACATAAATGTGGCCACACGTGGCAAATCTGTCCAATTCTGTATGAAACGCAGTCTGAAAGTCTCTCACACATGTGCACAGATGAAAAGACGCTCGTATGAAAGGCACAGCAGTCAGAAGTTTGGCCAAGAAATGCAGCTACTTCCAGCCATGCAACCGCCATGACGCATCGTGTCAAACAACATGCTGTTAGCATTAGCAAACTGGATTTCACATGAGTTACTGAAGGCCATTTGTAAACAGACATGAAAGCAAACAAGCTCTTGTGCTGCTGGCCTTGATCATCAAAGCCGTATCGATCAAATGACTCCTTCCCATTGATTCCTGCAGCAAATGTATTCAACATCTGACACGCTCGCACGCCGCTTTCAAGCATCAGACTTCAACTGACCAGCATCTTATTGTGTGTGTGTGTGTGTGTGTGTTTCTTGCAGTCCAACAAAGTGTCTGTGGTCCAGCAGGGGATGCATCCTCTGACGCCGCTGCTGCCCTACGATCACTTCAACCCCAGTCCTCCACACATTCCCACAGACGTCAGCCAGAAACCAGGTAACACATGATCTAAAATCTCACTGGATGAGCTGCATTCGAAGCAGTTAGCTAACACTCACACACCAGTGTTGTTATTTTCTCTTGATGTCCAAACCCGTGAGCTGCGTATTTTGCATATTATGATATTACATTTACATTTAGTCATTTAGCAGACGCTTTTTTCCAAGGCGACTTACAAATGAGGACAATAGAAGCAATCAAAATCAACAAAAGAGCAATGATAAGCAAGTGCTATGACAAGTTTCAGTTAGCCTAATGCAGTACACGTAGTTTTTACAATTATATAATAAATAAAAAGTTTAAATAAATAACAGAAAACAAATATATAGAATACAAAAAGAATAGAGAAGCTAGTGTTATTTTATTTTTTTATTTTTTAAAGAATAGAATTAGAATAGAGAGTGCTAGAGTTAGAGGGTCAAATAAAGATGGAAGAGATGTGTTTTTAGCCAATTCTTGAAGATGGTTAAGGACTCAGCTGCTGGGATTGAGTTGGGCAGGTCACTCCACCAGGAGGGAACAGTTAATGCAAAAGTCCGTGAAAGTGATTTTGTGCCTCTTTGGGATGGCCGTTCAAATATTATTCAAAGATCATACAATCTTCATCAATAGTGACATTAAAACACTTTTTAGGCTAAAGTCTGTGTAAAGTAATTTCTGAGAATTGTTTCTAAACGCATTATAAATGTTAGAAATGCATTGCTGAAGCATGTTGCAAAGTCTGTGAACTATGTCGTACTTAATCGTGGAGTTAGACCGTTAAACAGTTTTTCACCATTTTCGTGTTCAGGATTTTCTGGGCGGGGCTAACACCATGACTCGATGATGCAATCGAGACACTGAGCATGGCCCCTCCCCCAACAGCACTGCGCAGATCGATCGGTGTGTGACATCAAAGTACAGTCAGAGCTATTAGAGAGCAGACGGCTCCTTATGCTTTCGAATCACTCTCGTGGTACTTTGATGTCATGCACTGATCGTTCTGCGCAGAGTCGAACACCGCTAATAACTACAGCGCAGTGGTTTGCCCGCTCAATCGCAAGTTACTGTCATTACCGTTCGTTACTACAGCCTACAGGTTGCTAGCTAGCTATGCCTTCGTCACGTAAATGCATAATACCTGGTTGCAAATAATTTACAAAACAGCTCGGTCTCCTTATTTAAATAAGCTGCTAGAGGAAGACAGTTGAGAGAGACGGCAGCTTTCCCGTGAGTGGGCGTGGTTTCAGCGCCGCTGGCGGACACGCCCCCAGCGTTTGAGAGCAGAGAATATTGCTTATTTTGTCGAGATTGTGTGTGAGTTCACTGCTGTGTGTGCACAGCAACTTCATTCAATCATTCATTCAACCAATATCTTCAAACAGCTGATTCACTCAAGAATGAAGCAAGTGACTGTCTTTATGAATGAGTCAGTGAATCATTGGCTCCCTTGTTTCAATCACCACTGTGTTGCTCAGAGACTCAGAGAAAGGTTCTGGCTTTTGTGAAACTGAGCAAAAACAGACAATACTGACAATGCTGTGTCTAAAATATAACAATTAACTTCTTGTTTATTGAACTATTGTATTAAATCAATATTGTGCAAATATTCAGGAAAATTACAGCATTAAACTATATTATATGATATAAAAATACGAGGGGCAATTTTTTGCCCTCATATCTTGGATCACACAGTCAGTCAGTCAGTTGTCATGCATCATGTTCATCAGCATTAATCACACCAAATTAACACATTAAACAGCCTCAATTATAAATGTCCTCACCATATTTTTCTGAAGTCACATGATGCTTTGTGTGAGGAACAGACCTGCATTTGAGTCATTGTTCACTGATAATCTTCCCCTCCGCTGTTATGGTGATTTTTGTCTTGACAGCTGCGCTTAACATGAGGTGTTATTATAAAGCAAGAGCTCCTTAAAGAGTCCTCAGAAATATCTTTTGCGTTTTGTGAGTGATAGCAGTGTTCAGTTGTGGATGAACGATTCCTTTAATGCGGCAGCTGTAAACAGCCTACACTTAATATACTACAGTATACAGTAGGGGTGGGCGATATGACCAAAATCTTATTTCACGGTATGAGAAATTTTATTTCACGATAACGATATATATCTCGATGTAGGTATTTTTATTTTATTTTATTTTTGTTATAAAATTAGAAAAACAAGAAAAGTACAAACACAATAGAACAAATAAATATGAAATTGAATAAAGTGTATAAATAAAACACTGCATAGTCTTCACTGTATCAATCAAACATGAACTTATTCAAACTGGTCCAAAAGTGATTCAGTCAAGTGCAGTGAGCAGTGTTGGGCAGTAACGCATTACTTAGTAACGCGTTACTGTAATTTGATTACTTTTTTAGTAATTTAATTTAGCGCGTTGTAATTAGAGTATAGTTACAAGCCGAGGTCTCTATACGTTACTGCCGCGTTACATTGCTGACAGAATGCAGTGTTTTATAATCTAGAGATTGTAAAAAGGATGTAGCGCACGCATTGTCGAGTCAAGTGCCAGTAGATTAGAGACCTGCTCCCGCGAGACCCGACGCAACAGAGTGCGGCGCGGGAGAAGATGGGCGAGTGCTGGTGCGGGAGGGTAGACACTCGTGTGTGTGCATTGTGTTATAACAGAGATTTGTGAGATTGCGATGAACTGAGATGTTTTTTACAGATTATAAATGCAGCGCTCTTTGCTGGCATTCTGCCATCCAAATCATGCACGCAGCAGACGCTTGCTTTAGTTAAAAATAACAGTGTTCTGTGAATGTTGATGCTTTAATAACAAATATTTATCGGGACCGTGTATGCTGGGATTTCATACATTTCATGGAGAAAAAAAGTAACATAACCAGTAAGGTAACTAATTGCTAATTACTTTTGAAATAAAGTAATCAGAACAGTAACGTGATTACTTTTAAAAGGAGTAATCAGTAATCAGTAATTTGATTACATTTTCAGAGTAACTTGCCCAACACTGGCAGTGAGTGATTAACATTAATAATGACAAACAGCAGAAGGTAAATAAGGCTGCTGTCCCTTTGAGACCAACTGCACGAATCCAATATACTGATACACATCCGTTTTTCACCCAACTTTACGTTTATTTAACACACAGTCGACTGTTTACGTGAATACTCCACACGACGGGCAATTTGACATAATTGTGTGCGTATTTGACCATTCAAGCATGAAAGAGATCTGTTTTCGCGATCGCATGCTGTCTGAGAGGGGCTTTCAGTGCACGCGCTCCGGCTGTGTGTCAGTCAGCGCGACGAGCAGATTGAGTTATTTTTCACTGCTTATTGCAGTTAATAACTTTATTAAACATTCTGCACATGCCAAATACGCGATCGCATGCTGTCTGAGAGAGGCGCTTTCTGAGTGTGTGCTTTGTGTGTCAGTCAACGCGAGCACCGCATTGAGTTCTTTTTTTTACTGCTTATTGCACTTATTAACTCTATCAAGTGCGTCCCACTCTTCTTCTCATTCATGCATGTTTCCTTGTTCATCAAAGGTGTATATAACTATTAAGTAGTACTATGTTACGCAGATACGTTTGCATACCACTGAACACACGATATAGCAAAATGTCTAACGATAGACACTTTATTCTGCGGTAACGATATATACCGTCATACCACCCAGCCCTAGTATACAGTATACTTCATGTCATGTTTGATACACAAATTTCTAAGGCTTTGATCATCAAACTAAGCACTAAACATCTTACTGAGACATATTATTGGAGATATAGAGTGACAACTGATATTTATGTCATTTTATGTAAGTATCTGTTATACTGTTATAAAGATCTCATTGATTTACATTACAAGCATCAGAATTTCATCACTTTTTGTCCATAAAAATATCAGCATCTGCACCAAATTGCATTTTTTTGCTCAGTTTGATCCTCTAAATAAAACTAAGCTGTTTTTCTTCCAAATTCTCATTATATCGTAATACTGTATATGAGCCATAAAAGCCTGATATATAATAATTAATTATAATAATTTAATAATTTATGCATTTAGCAGACGCTTTTATCCAAAGCGACTTACAGTGCATTCAGGCTATACATTTTTTGACAGTATGTGACACACATATCTCATATGATGACACAAAAACACATAAGCAAACCTGGCCTTATTTGTTGGATGACTAGTCGTCTAGTCAAGTGTTATTACCCATCTTTACTACAGCAATGAATTCATTGCACCTATTTAACTTTGAAATTGATTGTTGATAAAGTAAATCGAGTAGAAATGACAGATGCTGTCATATTTCCCAGTGCCTGTAGTTTAAAGGGGTTTTTACATCACTGCCTGTTTAGCCCCGGCCACCGATTCTACATCACTGCCTGTTTAGCCCCGCCCACCGATTCTACATCACTGTCTGTTTAGCCCCGGCCACCAGTTCTACATCACTCTGTTTAGCCCCGCCCACCGATAATATATATCACTCTGTTTAGCCCCGCCCACCAATTCTACATCGCTGCCTGTTCAGCCCAGCCACTGATTTGCACATGTAGCGTAAATAATGAGAGAGGTGAATGCAGATCTAAGCAGAAACCAAATGATAAAGATGCTCTGAAGACAACAAGACGCTGTGCAGTGCCAAGCTGTGGAAAATCCTTCTGATCCTAACGTTAGGAAAGAGCAGAGGCGGACAAAGTACACAACTCCATTACTTAAGTGAAAGTACAGATACTGCTGGTCAAATATTACTCCATTACAAGTAAAAGTTGTAAAGACAGATTTTTACTCAAGTAAAAGTACAGAAGTACTTGCTTTTAAAAGTACTTAAGTACCAAAAGTAAATTTCCTTTTTCATGTCAGTGCACTGTTTTATTGTTGTACGTAATGCTTGCAATACTTCTGAAGCAACTTACAATACATTACACCTACTGAATACACTGACTAGCTTGTAGTGTCTTTGGAATAAAGAGCTTTTAGAATGTTAAAAACCTATGAGGGGAAAAAACAAAACAAAAAAAAA